GTCCATGATCAAATACAGCGCTTCCTAAACACCTACACCTGCATCTTAGCACTTCGGGCTCAAATTTTGGTCACACAGTGTGGGAGAGTCTGCCCAATGAATGAAAGGCAATCTAGTAGTAGGAAGGAGCAGAAAGGCTATTTTTGATGACGAGACAGTCGCTGCCCGAGCGCTTGGAAGGCACGCACTAAGAGGATGGGCGGGGCTTGACCCGACCCTCTCTGCCTCTGCAGGCGGGCCAGCCTCCAGGTTTCCCGGCAAGCTCCAGGACAGAGGAGGTGGGGAGAGGAGGTCATCGCGCCTGCGTACTACGAGATGTGACCCGGGTGGGAAAGCCCTCCGCGTCCGCCATTTTGGCTGCCTCTGTCCGTCTGTTCAGTTACCACGTGAACCGCCGACGGAGACCCGTGGTGGGGGGGGAGGAGGCGGCAGCGTTAAGTGAGAAAGGGAAAAAAGACAACGAGGAGAAGGGGGTGTCCGGGTAGGGAGACGCGGCGACACCCAAGGCCCGGTGGTGGCGACGGATCGTTGTATTCAAGGCTGAAGCAGCAAAGGAACGGCAGCGGCGGCGGTCGGACAAACAGACTGACCGAGCCGGGTAGTGGCGGGAGCAGCGGGAGGAGCCGGAACGATGCCGGCCGTGAGCCTCCCGCCCAAGGAGAACGCGCTCTTCAAACGGATCTTGGTAAGCGTGAGGCTCTGGGCAAGCAGTAGGGAGCATTTAGCCAATAACCGGGCCTGTCACCCTTAACCTCGGCCGGGCGGGCACCGAGCCGACCCCGCCTTCGTAGTCTTAGGCCGAATGCGCTTCTTCGTCCTCTCTCTATGGTTCCCACTTCGGCTCGCGCGCCAGGGACCAGAGGCTTCCCCCTCCCGTCTCCACGCTTGAGGCCCTGGTTCCGGGCTAGGCCCCGACCTCCTGGCTTCTGGAATGCCGGTTTTCATCCTCCCCAAGCTAAGGGAGAAGAGGCCCGGCCTTCAGCAGTGAAGCGACCAACACCAGCAGTAGTCGCGGCACGGTTGGTGTGGGAATCCTGCCCGGCAGGCCGGGTTGGCACCCTTGGAAGGAACAGGTGGTGCGGATGCAGCACGGCTCATTCATTGCCTAAGCGCGGTTCTCCCTCCATCGTCCGTCCCTCCCTCTTCCTCCCCTCTTGGGATTCACCTGTCTCCGCCCGGTCGCGCGTCGCAGAATGACCTGGGAGGAGGAAAGGAAGGGGGAGTTCAGTGGAGGAAAGGAAGCTTTCCAAACGACTACCTCCTTGTAAGTCTGCAGCTCCTCTGCGTCTCTTGTTCCCTTCTTTCTTAAGTGGGGACGAGACCTTTATTTCTTAGTTTCGGAGCGGGAAACAGCCCCACCCCATCACTCTCTTTAGGAGGTGGGGCCCATTGTGAGGGGGCGGTTCGGTAGGAAGTGAAAAGTTAAGAGCCTTCAGTTGAGATGTTCTAGACGTAGACTTTTCTTTTGCACTGAAGTGTATTAACACTGCTGCAAAAACTTAGCAGAAAGAAAGAATATAAGAACTTTTGAGAGGGATCTTGTTGATGCTAGCTCAAACCCACTTATTCCCTACTTTTCAAATGTGTGCAGTTTGCATTTTTTAAAAACCATAAGCGCATTTATATTTGTGGGACTGTTTAAGTTGTAAAATATGTCCTGTGGTCTTGGTGCTATAATTAATACATTGTAGCATATTTCTTGTTTGGCATTTAGTGTGTGGGTTGCCTCTTTCACCCAAACATTTCCTTATGAAAGAATTAACTGTGTTTGTCAAACTTGATAACAAAATTTGAGGTGTTAGGTTTTTCTCTTGCAGTTATAATTTATTTAACTTGTGTCAAAAGTAGAACAACTCTAGGGGCCAGTTTTTCTAGTAAGAGAGAATCATCCATGTTGAACTAACAATTTTACGAAAATACCCATATGCCTTACGGATTTAGTGAATTCATGTTAGAAAACACGTTAGAAAGTCACATCCAATGCTACATTACTCTTAGTTACCCTGAAATCCTTTTTGGCATTTTTGTTTTAAGACTAATGAGAGTGTGGGTAGAACTATAGCATAGTTTTAGGAGAACAGTTATTTATTCTTAAGCCTTTAAAAAGACTAATTGGTGTGTAGGTAGGACTGTAACATAGTTTTAGGATAACAATGTATCTTTAATCCCTGCCTTTATTTTGGAAAAAAAATCAAACTGAAAAGTTGAGAGAACAAGGAACACTCATAAA